TCTGCTCAACAGTTCAGTCTAGAGTCCACTCCAGAATCCACTTTTTCCTGAGCACAGCCAGGAGTCCACTCACTTTTCAGAACTCAGTGAAGAGCCTGTTCACCATTCACCGCTCCGGACTCAGCTGTGAGTTCACTCAATCACCAAACTCTTAAATCTGTGCCTGCTCTCCTCCTAGAGCTAAGCCTTGAGCCAAATTGTTTCCCAGAGCGCAACCCGGTGGCAGGTCCAAATAAGTCCATCTCCATCCATGATGCAAGCCAAGACACTGCAACCCTGTGTTTGCTGGCACTAGCAATTGGGTTTGTTTGGTTGGCACACACCTCTGGGATTCTCCCCAAGGAAATTTGGGGGGGGGGTAGGGGGGTCATACACGCACAGCCGATGTGGTCGTTCCTGTCTCAAGTTCTCTCGTCTTGGCTAATGCAACCTCCTTTACTCCCTGATTCTACATAGCGTTCAGGATGACCGTTACTATCCTCCTTGCCACAGCCAGAGTGGCCGATAGAATCTCCTGTTTCCTGCATCTCGGCCATGGTGTCCAATTAAATTTTCTGTTCTCCTGTGTCCTCGTCCCGGCCAAGGCGGCCGATGGAATCTCCTTTGCTCCTATCTCATGTGCTATTGATTCATGGCCCTCTGAGCCACCTAAACCACCATGGCCTCCACCAGCATGACTCCCTTAGTTGCAGGTGCCATCCTGGAGGCTTCCTTTCTTGTCCATATCTCCCTGTTCACCTGCCTGTAACCTGCCACAGCTCAAGGATGCCCTCCCAACCTCCTGGGCTGGACTCTATTTTGCGCGAGTTCGTTCCTTCCAGAAGGGGGGAGTATTGTCAGGATCATCAGTCACCTTGCCTGTCACCTCTGCACACTACATCTCCTACAATACCCCCCTTGGCTTTCACCTGCACAAGGTCTCTAAATGATCAACATGATCAAAACTGTCCTGAAAACCTGTTGTACACACATGCCTTTTGTCGTCAGACTGATAGTTCAAATGCTTTTACAGTGAATCAATGCAGACCTCTTTAAAGCAAACCAAACAGGTAATTTTGGGAGGGGGTCTGAATAGAGTTCACTTTAAAATAAAAAAAATGACTCCCTTCCTGGCCTTAGAGGCCGGTTCACACAGAACACATTTTTGCATTCTACGGTGCTGCTTTTCCATTGTTTTTCCATGTAAACATGCATTAGATGGACATCTTCGAACGCTGCACTCGTGTCTTGCATCTTTTGCATTGTCTAGCACTTGAGTCAAGTTAAAAGAAGTTCAAGAAGTTCAGTTTTTTCACAACTTTGAGTCTGTGGTGGGACTTGTTTATAATGTGTTCTGTGTTATTATAATATTATTGTGAATAGAATTGTCAAGATCACCAGTCACCTCTGCACACTACATTTCCCACAATCCTCCCTGGCTATCACCTGCGCCCACTTCACAATCACCACACCTGTCTGCCATCATCCTCATCAACTCTCCATAAAAGCCAGCACCACACACACAGGCCTGGTCTGGTTTTGTCTGTGTTCCATTTATTGTGAGCCGCTCTCTCTTTTTGGATTTATCTGCCTGTGGATTTGGATTTATCTGTCCAGGCTAATCCATGCTTTATAATGGGAGTGGATGGTAGCCGAGTCTACTCTAACCCACGAGTCAGCTTAAGAGCCCGCTCACGCTCCAGAGTCTGCTCAACAGTTCAGTCTAGAGTCCACTCCAGAATCCACTTTTTCCTGAGCACAGCCAGGAGTCCACTCACTTTTCAGAACTCAGTGAAGAGCCTGTTCACCATTCACCGCTCCGGACTCAGCTGTGAGTTCACTCAATCACCAAACTCTTAAATCTGTGCCTGCTCTCCTCCTAGAGCTAAGCCTTGAGCCAAATTGTTTCCCAGAGCGCAACCCGGTGGCAGGTCCAAATAAGTCCATCTCCATCCATGATGCAAGCCAAGACACTGCAACCCTGTGTTTGCTGGCACTAGCAATTGGGTTTGTTTGGTTGGCACACACCTCTGGGATTCTCCCCAAGGAAATTTGGGGGGGGGTAGGGGGGTCATACACGCACAGCCGATGTGGTCGTTCCTGTCTCAAGTTCTCTCGTCTTGGCTAATGCAACCTCCTTTACTCCCTGATTCTACATAGCGTTCAGGATGACCGTTACTATCCTCCTTGCCACAGCCAGAGTGGCCGATAGAATCTCCTGTTTCCTGCATCTCGGCCATGGTGTCCAATTAAATTTTCTGTTCTCCTGTGTCCTCGTCCCGGCCAAGGCGGCCGATGGAATCTCCTTTGCTCCTATCTCATGTGCTATTGATTCATGGCCCTCTGAGCCACCTAAACCACCATGGCCTCCACCAGCATGACTCCCTTAGTTGCAGGTGCCATCCTGGAGGCTTCCTTTCTTGTCCATATCTCCCTGTTCACCTGCCTGTAACCTGCCACAGCTCAAGGATGCCCTCCCAACCTCCTGGGCTGGACTCTATTTTGCGCGAGTTCGTTCCTTCCAGAAGGGGGGAGTATTGTCAGGATCATCAGTCACCTTGCCTGTCACCTCTGCACACTACATCTCCTACAATACCCCCCTTGGCTTTCACCTGCACACACTTCACAATCACCACACCTGTCTGCCATCATCCTCATCAACTCTCCATAAAAGCCAGCACCACACACACAGGCCTGGTCTGGTTTTGTCTGTGTTCCATTTATTGTGAGCCGCTCTCTCTTTTTGGATTTATCTGCCTGTGGATTTGGATTTATCTGTCCAGGCTAATCCATGCTTTATAATGGGAGTGGATGGTAGCCCAAAATGTGAAGTCCAAAAAATTGCACCCATCCATTATAAAATAAGTCCACATGGCTCCGGGGGCGTTAAAACGGCCTTCTGAAGCAAAGCGATGCATTTGTGTAAGAAAAATATCCATATTTACAACTTTATAAATCTTAATCTCTAGCTTCCGCTAACTGTTGTACACGTGTTCACGAGAGAGTGGCATCCAGCGGATGACGTAGGACATAGGCGTAGCGTAAGCTCCAGTGAGAATATGCTAGTCTCCCGAGAAACAAGATTTGTTTACAGCCAAGGAAAACCAGTGTCTTCTTGGCTTATGTCAAATATATTGGTTTATATCCTCCGACCTCCCAATCTTATATTGGCTTATATCCTCCGACATCCTCGTTTTTTACTTTTAATTCATGACCGGTGTTTTGTTTTGCTCTCTCCTCTGCGCTTCCACATTCGTCGTTTCCTCGTTCGTCACGTTTGCCTACGTCCTACGTCGAAGAGGTCAACCCCTCCAATGTGCTGATTATAGTCTCTTACAACAGCCAGACAGGGAACATCAATGACCGCCTTACTTATTCTGTCCCATCACTGGACATGAGTGACTGGGTGTGCTCCCACATAATCGCTCAGTAGGGTCACTGCATGTGGTCAAGTGGTATGACAACCGCTCAAAGTGGTATCGCCAACAATTGCTGTCTTTTCTTGAAAAGACCCACGGCCAGATCTTTTCAGCTCAGTATCAGAAACCATGCTGCTGCCTGGTAATTTGTTGGAGCGAACAGTGCCAAGACAGTGCACCCCTTGACGAGCTAGCTCAAGTTGTAGTGGGACACTGGTGAACCAGTTGTCAAAGTACAGCTTGTAGTTTTTGTGTTGTGGCACTGGTTGAGCGAGGCGTAGGACAACATTTCCACTGGGAAAGTAGTGCAGCCCCCCAGTTGGTAGATATAGGAGCCAGTGTACACTTCAGTGTTGTGTGGAATATCATCAGAGCCAGCCAAGACCATAAGCTTATACCCCCATTTTTTGGGCTTCTTGGGCAGATATTGCTTCAGGCGATTTCGTCCCTTAAATGGGATCATTTGCAAACCAACGCTCAGCTTCTCTGACATGGGTATTGCATTCATTTTAGAGACAAGATGAGTAATCAAGGGCCGGATCTTGAACAGCTCATCAAAATTGTCATCAGATCGAACTGGTTGATCATCATTATCATTGAAATGCAGGAATCTCTTGATTTCTTCCCATCTGTTTAGAGACAGTGTATCTGCTACTTGAGAAACTCTGCTTGTAGGGCGCCAAAACATGCATGTTGCTGGCAGTCCAAACAAGGACATGTACAGGACAGTGCCCAAGAACTGCTCAAGTTCGGATGTGGTTAGGTTAAGTGGCTTGTCAAGATTAACCTGTGCTGCATACAAATTTAACTGCTCTACAATAACGCCAAGTATATCATCAGAGAGGAATGTCTTAAAGTATTGATAAGGGGATGTCATCAGCTTGTGGAAGGCTGCCTTGCCAATCAGGGAATGCGGGGAAACTAGAATCATGGCTGGTTTTCCACCTCGGTTGATGAGGGATTTCCCCACCATCATCCATCCAATTTTCTTCAGGAGTTACTGTATATAAGACAGGGCTTTAAATAGCATGATATTGCACTGAAAACTAGCCTGTAAAAGTAAAATAATTGTTTTTTTTATTATTTATATTGTGCACAAATACATGTAATTATATGTGATAACATCCACCTCATTCATATGATGATTAATACATTGCTTGACTGAAAACTGAGATGTATTCACCTTGGCTGCATTTGTCTAGTGTGTATTCATGCATAGATATGGGATATGACAAAACAAAGTACATTTAGCTTGTTTTACTAAAACATAATTTTCATGGAAATAAAAGATAATATAATTAATTATTGGTCAGCATTTATCATTATTATTATGCGTAAGTGTTGGGGTGGGCTAGCAATTAAATTCATTTTGGGGGGAACCTTCATTTTTAAGTAGTAATGCTTACATTTTTCAAGTATAAAATCAAGTCTTCTCCAAAGATGATATCTCCGACATCTCCTTCGTGCAAACATTGCAAACGCTGAGGAAAACTGTACTAGGTAGACTTGTCGAGTTAATGATGCTATTAGTGCACCTGTCCCTCTTATCTTTTTCCCTTTATTTTAATTGCACAACTTATAATTACATACAAGCTCAGGGAAAAGAAAGATGTACTGTATCTTTAACAATGAACAATCATAATGACAAAAAATGAGAAAACATGAATATCATGGGTTTGCGTACATCATAGTATGAGATCAAAAAATTGCCAATTGTTTTTTTTTGATAGGCCTGAGGGATGAGGCGAGAGTAAAATTCAACAAGAAAAAGATGAAAACATAAAGGAGATTTAAGCCACTTTTGCTTGTGGATGAAAACATTTGCATATAAAATAAAGAAATTAACAACATATTTAAGAGATAACTATTTGGGGTTTTCATGATAATAAATGTCTTTAAGGATAAAACTTTGGCTGTCATTAGTAGGGTTCAAAATATAAGAACTTAAATCAATTCAAAATGTATTGGTTATACAACAATCACAAAATAAATGGGCAGCTGTTTCATCAAGACTACAAAGTCAGCGAGTTTCATCAATATCAAGATATTTAGTTAAATTAATCAAACCTGTTGCTCATATCTTTAGTGGTTTTAACCCTAGGATTGCTATTGCACCATTGTCGTAATAACTAAATGTAGTTATTTAGATCCACTTTATTTATTTATTTTTTACGCAAGTATTTTCAATTCATAAAGTATATTTCAATAATTTTGCAGATTTAAAATGTACTCTTTTTTATGAAACATTTTTACACTTTAAACATTGAGTACACCACAGTTAAAAGTTTTTAGAGCGTATGCTAAAATGGCTTACAGCTGCATTAACAGGGACATGAGCATGAGCATGAGCTTGAGCCTGAGCCGCCACTGAGACCACCAAGTAGCAGGCATAAGAGTAGAGCGGAAGAGTCGGATGATGGTCTCTGCATGCTCATGATTGTCTTCATCTGCTCGCTGTGTTGCCTCATCATCAGATTCACAGTTTCATCATGTCTTTTGTTCATGTTTTCTATCACCTTTTTAAAAAGCTTGTCACTTTTCTTTTCTGCTTCCTTGTTTTTCCTCTTAAAATCCTCTATATCTTTAGTCATCCTGTCTGCCTTCTCATTAAAGCCCTTCTCCAACAGAGCAGCCTGCTCCCTCAGTTTACTGTCCATGCCACGCTCAGCCTCCTCTCTCTGAAGTTTTATCTCCTCATCCATCTTCTTCTTCATCTGCCTCATCCTCTCTTCATTACTCTTTCTCTCTGCTTCCATCTTCTCCTCTAGTTGTCGCTGTTTCTGTTCCTTGGTGTTTATTTCTTGAGCCAGGAGAACAGCTTTCTCTCTTTCCTCTGGAAAAAAAAAACGAGATAAAATGAAATATTGCACTCTCCTGTGTTTAGCTCCAGCCCTAAACAAACACACCTGAACCAGTTCTACAGACTCGCTTGAAAGTCATAGGCAGGTGTGTTGAAGCAGGTTGGAAATCAATTTTGCAAGACATGTTAACTTTTGTTTCAATCAGACTGAATTAGGGGGGTTACAATGACTTACAAAGATACATAACAGCTACAAGTGTATGCACTACTTGCTTTATGCAAGCGCTATATAGGATAAATCACTATACAGGATTTACCCTATTATACTTTATCGACAAGATTTGATAGGTGAAACAACAAACAGCCACCCACAAATAGTCTATAAACAAAGCATCAGGCTTTCTTTGAGTTCACGTGAACAACGGTTAAAGTTACTCGTCGTCAGGCTACAGAAGAATACCATAATTCCTCCGTTCAATTAGGCCTACGACATCGAGAGTCACACAGACCTATAACAACCCAGCCACAACACATAATTGCGAATAACATGCCTTACCTTAACACAGAATCGACCACAGAGTCCAATGTTTATATTTTTTCTACGAATCTTTGAGTTAACATGTACTAAACATGAGTTGAATTTGCACCGCAGCGCCCCCACACCTTGATGCTCATGACAAGAATAGCATGTATAGTTATCTTTATTGAAGTGAATTAGGTTTAAATCGCCGTCATGCATGAATTAATTCTATTTTTTGCAATTTTACACATAATAATCTATGATGATCACATTACGCAAAACTGAAATTGCACGTCAAAATAACACATTGTCAATATTTTTTGGGACCCCTCAAAATTTCACAAATCACGTTTTCAGGGGAGCCCATGTCTTATTAAGGGGAGCCGAGCTCCCCCTAGCTCCCCCGTAGTTCGCACCCTGATTGTGTTATTCTAACAAGTACATCCATGTCAAGTGGGGAAAACAAATGTTATTTAACTTAAGATAAAATTGTTTAAACTTAAGCACATTTGTTTTCCCCACTTGAGTAAAGATTACTTTTTTTTTTCTTTGTGCTGACTTAATTATTAAGACAACTCTTTTCATTCCAATTTTAATTATTTTATATTGCAAATAATTAGCAATCTGGTGTCAGATATAGAAATATATCAACTGCAAATCAATTCAATTAAGTCTCTCAAGATCTGACAAGAAGCTGATTAACGTATTACATGTGATGTTGTTCATACATCTAGGCTAAAAGCTGCGAACTGTTTTTTTGCGATTAGTGAGCCAATAAATTATTTAAACTCAAACTAATATTTTTTTGTACAATTATTGACTTGTGTGTCAAACAGCTGTACGGGATAAGCAAGATAATGTACATCCAGCCAGTTGTTATTGTACCCTCTGTTTCGTGTTGGGATCCTGATCACCCCTGTTGGGTTTGTATTGTGATAACTGCCTGGATGTACATTACCCCGCTCATAACTCCAAAAGCTGAAATTGTAATTTCATAGCTAACACTAAAAATGTATTTAATGGTGACCAGAAAAGATGAGGATTATAAAAGGAAATAAACTTTGTTCGATTAATATCACTTGTTTTCACTGTAAAGAGGCCATTCACTGATGTACTGGCTTTCTACACTACATGGTGCTACTGTTGCATTATCCGTCATGTTCTGTTGTAGGATGTAACAACCTCTCACCCATAATCTTTCTCTCTGTCTCAGTCAGTTTTTTGTCGGCCTGCAGAATGGCGTTAGAATCCACAGACTTCTGCTTCAGAAACTCTTCAAGTGTGTCTTCTGCCTATGGACAACACATGTGATATTGTGAAAACTGCTACTTTATTGCTACATAACGATGATTAATACTACTACTACTACTACTACTACTACTATTATTAATGATGATTGTGAAGAAAATGCTAATGCTCCCACTACAAATTTCACAAAAAAAACTAAAACTCCAACAATAGTAATAAATAACAATAATAAAATAACGATAGTGCTAATTACACATTGGGCATGAGTGTCACAATTTGGTTTTACATTGCAACCAACACATTTTTTAAAATACAAATGCAGTTCTAGATGCAAATCCCCTTTTGTTAAATCAGGAAAGCTGCAACAGTTGAGACCACGACATGTCCAAAATCCACACTTTATTTTTTCCCAAGTAAATAAGTGCATCATCTGGGTATTTAAAGGGTCATGAAAGTAAAACATTTTTTTTTTTTTTTTTTTGATTTTAACAGATGTACAGGTTGCACATCAATGAAAAAAAAGCTCTTATTATGTTTATTATTAAGGAAAAAGTTTATTTTTTGGAGCCATTTTGATCTTCCAGTTTAAAAAGCAAAGTTGAACCAATGCCACGAAAATTGAGGTATATGCGTTAGTTCTGAGTGGTCGGCTGCCGTGGCTGGAGAGTATGTCACAAGCTTTTTCAAGCTTTTATCGGCATTATTTGTGAAAATAAACTAAATTAATCCAACCACTGTGCTGTACTATGCATGAGATCACTTTACAGTGGAGAATACAAATGTCGCAAAAGACAGTTTCAGCACTGTTTGTTCATCTCTGTAAACATAACTGTAACAATATTTAATTTGTAACAACACGTGGAGCGCGCAAGAGTGCAGTTTCTGTGCGGAACTCTGCGATGAGTTTAAAAATACTCTCAACACAGATCACTGTTCATATACAGACTGGAGCTTTTTCATAGGGAAAATTTTTCAAACGGGTTTCCTGACTATTTAAAGTGCACTTTTTCAACAAAATGGCTTAGAATAGTGCATAAGTATGGAAATTGGGATGCACATAGTGTCTTGGATAATGACTCATCAGTATTTAGCCAGAAGGAACCAGGATTCAAACCAGGAACCTATTTCCAGTTGATTTCTCTACTCCTAGTCCACTGTCTTCCACATTCTATAAACACTAGGAATATTCTAGGAAAACAAGACAACCCTCTTACAGATGTACAAAAAACCTGTATGTGATGTTGCAATATTGATACTCACTTTGACTCCCTTGTTGGCTTGGGTTTTGTATTTTTTTACAATGTCTTCAAGGTCCTGGGAGAAGAGAACATAACCACCAGCTATGGCATAAAAACCTTGCTTGAGTTTTTCTGTCATTGGTGCAGAGAGGGTTGTCAGGAGATTCTCACATCTTTTCTTTGAAGCCTCCTCGTTTAGGTGCAGGTATCCATCAAAGAGTTTATTCATTTCTTCCTGTAGCGTTACACAAAATAGCAGACACAGAAAACTTATTTTGGCACGATTCAATGGCAATTTAAAAGAATCTAATGGCATCATCAAATTAAGCTCGATTCAGATTCAGAGACATGATTAAAGCCAAAACAATGGGTCTCATTCACCAATAACATTCTTATTTTCCTTAGTAAATTTGTTCTTAGAGAAGCTCAAGCAGAAAAAATTCATGGGATTCATGAAGTATGTGTATGCTTTCAGGTTTGTTGGTATCTGTATGCAGTGTTGGGGATTAACTGGTTACATTTAACAGCGTTACATAATTTAATTACAAAATAATAGTGCTGTCAAAATTAATGCATTTTCAGTTTAACACCTTAAAAATATTTAATGCAATTAATGCAGGGGCGGAGCTGGGGTTAGGCCACCCCACTCACAACTGCTGCCTCCATCTCTTTTTTTCTTTACAAGAATTGCATTTATTTAAACACAGAACGTCTTTACGACAACATCAAACAGGAGACATTTCAGATCCTCCCTATATGCAAAGTAAGCATGTAGCGTAGGGCCCCCGAAACACCAGGGGACCCCCTTGCTCTCAAAGATTATTTAATTTTAGTTTCGTTTTTGAAACACGGACACATATAGGCTATATAATTTAATTGGTTATTTTTTTTTATCGACTGACAGCACTACAAAATAAATGTAACTAATCTGTTAAGAGTTACTGAGAAAAATATGTAATTAAGCTACAGTTACTTATGAAAATGATAACGATTACAAAGGGGGTTATTTTATGTAAAAATCTAGGATATGATTAATAATATTATTTTGTTGCTTTGCCTGTTTGTGATCCGCATGATGCCATTGCAGCGCACCACGTCTGCTAATTACATCAATGCACATTGCCATTGGCATGTTGCCACCATGGCGAGTGATAAAAATGCATTCCAGTGCTTTAAAAATGTTCCAGTGCTGTGTTTTAAAATTTAATTATTATAATCTTAATTCAAGTGAAGAAAAGTAATCAAAAATAGAATCAGTTACATTAAAGGGGTCATATGATGCAATTTCAATTTTTCCTTTCTCTTTGGAGTGTTACAAGCTCTTGGTGCATAAAGAAGATCTGTAAAGTTGCAAAGACTAAAGTCTCAAATCCAAAGAGATATTCTTTATAAAAGTTAAGAGTCAACCACGCCTACCTAAAATGGCTCGTTCTAACACGCCCACATACCTACATCACGATGTGGGAAGATTTGCATAACGCCGCCCAAATGTTCACGCAAAGAAAGAAGGCGTAACTTTTATTCTCGCTGTAGTATTGTTGTTGCCGCCGCCGCCATGTCGTGAAGGCGCTGTGTGTTTCGTTGTGAAAGCGAAACTACTTTGTTTGGTCTTCCAAAAGAGGACGATATTCGCTTCGTCATGCCTAGAGCTTATCTGTGCTGGTCGCTGAGGAAATACATCAACTTCGCGCTGTGGATCGCCGGATCGGCTTTCACCGTGGATGAAGCGGAGTCCAGCCCGAGGTCGTCACATATGGTTGCTGCAAGCCCGCCGGACGCTCCTTCGTCGAGTCAAGGTGTGTGACGCTGTATCGGTGTGAAAGCGAAATTACTTTGTTTGGCCTTCCAAAAGAGGACATGTGGAAAATTATGTGTTTTTTTAACCTTAAACCGCATAAACACATTTCATTACACCAAATACACAAAATAATGTTATTTTTAGCAGCATCATATGACCTCTTTAATAATAAAGTCCTCTGATAATGAAGACTCTGCTGCGTTCTCCCCGTCTGGGGTGGTTGCTCAGTCGGAGTTAGACTTGGAGTTAACAGCCATGCTTGCCCGGGCAACCGCGAGCATTGAGCTGGAGATGAACCCACCGCCTTGCTTTGAGCCCTTGTGGCTGGATGATTGGTTCCTAGAGCGGGACACAGTGCACAGCCACACTCTGCCCCAGTCCCTTTCTTCCCAGAGGTGCCCAAAACAGATCTATGACCTCTTCTATCTTCACTGCTCTCGATGGTGGAGCGGCCAGAGGCTACGTGGAGGTTCCTCAGTTGGAGAGAGTGCCTGCAAAACACCACTACCTTGTGGAATCGCCCGTGGCTACCGTCCAAGGCCTGTAAGCTGACATCAGCATTCGTTAATAAGGCTTACAGTGCCACTGGACAGGCTGCCTCTGCCCTGCATACGATGGCCATCCTGCAGGTACATCAGGCCAAAGCACTGAAAGAATTGCACAAAGGTTATTCTAAGCCAGGGTTGATGCAGGATTTGCACACCGGCTGTGGCCTCTGGGCAACTAATGTCACCGTGTTGGCCCTGGGCCAGGCAGTGTCCATCATGGTGGTCCAGGAATGACATCTCCAACTCGACCTGGCAGAGATGAGGGGTACCGACACACATCAGAAGGCATTAATTAACCCACCGGAGTCGTATAGATTACTTTTATGATGGATGGACACGCTTTTTGGAGCTTCAAAATCTCAGACACTATTCACTGCCATTACAAAGCTGGGAAGATCCAGGGGCCAGTTGTTCAAAAAGCTTCATCGGGATCAGAATGATCTGGATTTGGAAATCCCATGTTTTGCTATTCAGGATCATGGTTTTCACTCCTGCCACAACCCTGAACTACCTGCTGAGTGCTGGGCCTCAGCTCGACTTTTCGGTATAAACTTGAATGAGTGAGGCTTGCTTGTCCGGGGGAGTGGCTTGGCATGCAAATATCACTCACCAATCTTCATCTTCATGACCAATCTTTTAACTAGAGGGTGGTGCACACTGTGGTGTGGGTAGATGTGCAAGTCACAAAGTATGATATATTTTGTGATATATATAATACATATTCTTGGAGAAAAAAGAAATTGTGGTAACAATTTATTTTGATGGTCCCGTTTGAACATTCTGTTGAAAATAAGTACCATTGCACCTTCATGTCTACTAACTTTCATTAGAGTATTAGTAGACCGTCTAATATCTGCTAACTCTTTATTGTGATGATCTCCGAACAGACATTCTACTGACTATAAATAACTTTGCAAGTACATGTCAACTTATTCTAACCCTAATCCTACCAGTCAACTAACAGTCTTCTAACACTCTAATGAGAGTTATTAGACATGTTCTGTAGGTGCAACGTTACTTACATATAACAGAATGTGCTAAAGGGACCATCAAAATACGTTATTTACTGGGCATCACCTCTAGACATTTCGTGTATGTCCCCTCACTGTCCTTAAAGGAACGCCCCATGAAGGTTTGTGTCGCTATGCTGCTGAGACGTTCGTGTTCTGCGCACACATCCCTCAGTTCCAGAGGGAAGGAGTCCTTCAGCTTCTCCATTCCAGTCTGGTACACCTGAAGGCCCTCCTTCACTGCAGACTCATTCTCAATCACTGACACAGTGAGCACAGCATTCTCCAGAAATGGTACTTGACCACTGGAAATTGTGTCTACATATGTCTTCACCAGCTGGCAGAGGACTTCAGGGAAAGAGAAGGGTCAAACACAGGGATATTAATAACATGTTGTCCAGAAAGTGCCATAAACATGGTCTACTGAATTGGTAGCTCTTTTTTTAAACGGGAATTTCTAACATTAACAATGAAAGATTATGAGCTTACACTGTGCCTCCCTTCTCTCAGTTTAGCACTATTAGATCACAAACATTCTATTTAGAAACCAGTATGTCTCCCTAGGGCAGTGGTTCTCAACCCGCGGCCCGTCACAAATGCGGCCCATGATGCTGACCACGTAAAAACAAAAAAAAAAATAATAATTATTATTATTATATATATTTTTTTTAATATATTTAAACTTATAGTTTTACAATTTATATTTTTTTAAAATGTATTAAACAAATAAAAGTTTGAACAATCATTTTTTTGTCATATAAAATAATTTTGGTGATCATGTACTGTTTTCAGGTATGCGCAGTACTGACGCAACTATGAACTGATGCAATTACACAGTTAACGCACACAATTACAAGCGGATTTTGGCAGATTTAAAACAGTCATCAATTAATGATCAAAATGGACAACTGCAACTTACAGTCGCAACTTCATTGTGCTGTTACTCCTTTTGAGCCTAATTTCACCAAATTGGTCTGCTCCCGACAACATCAGGTGTCCCATTAATGGTAAGTAGAATTATACTCTCTAATAATAATAATATGTGGTTAGTTTGCATTGGTGATGTCATATGTAAATGATATGCGGCCCGTGAGACTTGAACTTGGACATAGTGCGGCCCACTGAAAAAAAAAGGTTGAGAACCACTGCCCTAGGGTTATACTGGCATTATGGTGCAAAGTGCATACAACCTAAAACATAGTTGTGCCAAAGTGTTCTATTGACAGCAGTTTTTCAACAACTAAAGGGAAAAGACGTGTCTCTGATTTCTACTACTGTGTTGAGACATTCACTTGTGTAAATGAATATGGTAAAAATTATCATATTCTGTATTAAAGTATTTTTTTTTTATTTATTTATATCTCATATATCTTATTGAATCACCTCTGCCTGTGACTATGTATCCATCTTTCAGCTTTTTAATTTCACTCTTGTCAAAGATAAACTTGCAGAAACGATCTGTGACCTCAAGGAACTCAAAGGAAAGGTCAGCAGAATCCAAGCTCTCCAGACGAGACACTTTCTCTGAGGTGGTTGGAAATGGGAATGTAAAACACTTCCGGGATGGGAAATAATTTCGGATGCATTCTCTTGGAAGGTTGAACTCTTTAACTGGTCTTGAATTGCCTTTAAAAGATACAAAACAGCTTTTTGTTAAAGAGATTAGCAAAATACAGCGTTGTTTGTAAATTGCCTTTCCCTCAGAGCAAAATCCCTGGTCCAGTGGTGGTAACCCATGATCCTGGAGTACCACCAACGCTACACATTATGAATGTCTCCTTTGTCTTGATACACCCATTTCAGATCTTGGAATCTCTTCTAATGAGCTGATGACCTGAACCAGCTCTTTGTTTAGGGGCTCTAGGAACAGGGTTGAATC